TATTATATTATATTATATTATATTATATTATATTATATTATATTATATTATATTATATTATATTATATTATATTATATTATATTATATTATATTATATTATATTATATTATATTATATTATATTATATTATATTATATTATATTATATTATATTATATTATATTATATTATATTATATTATATTATATTATATTATATTATATTATATTATATTATATTATATTATATTATATTATACTATACTATACTATACTATACTATACTATACTATACTATACTATACTATACTATACTATACTATACTATATTATATTATATTATATTATATTATATTGTCATTTTAAAAATCCCACCAATTTCAGCTCTAGTCAGATCTATGTTTGACTCCACCATACCATGACAGGCAGGCAAATCTACGGTTCCCTTCTCTTGCCATAACAAAATGGCAAATTATTCTTGGAGGCATGCCATAAACTTCCGCCTAAGACATTCCTAAGACAACATTCCACATCAGGGACTTCTAGGCTGATTTCTGAATCACACCTGCATGCAAAGGACTTGCAGTTAAGGAATCTAAGGTCAAGAATATAACATGTGTTGTTTAAACATCTCTTGCTTTTCCATGAAGTGCAGTGAAAGCTTGTACTTCTACAAAAATAAATGAAATAAAATGGAGATCACATTTTAACCATTTAGCAGTCTTACTTTACTGTGCATAATAGTTTCCCAGACAAAAATAAAATAAAACCCACTCCCCAAATTTAATTACAGTATTAAACTGCCTATTTAATAATTAAATGCAATTTAAGTAAACATCAACATGTTGAAAACTATTATGAACCCTGGCAAACCCTGCTATACTCACAAGGTAAGAATAACTTTCACTGTTTTTCAGTAACAACAGGTGTTTTATTTAAATCCATTCTGACATTCCCTGGTGACTATCTTATGAAAATGAAACAAAACTGATAACAAAATCCAATTATTCAAGAATGATGGCATACATAGTACTAAAATTAATAATAGTAATCCCTGTTTGCTTATTCATGCCTGCTGAAATGCCTTCTGGGAAGGAAAGATTATGCCCACACATCCCCATGCGTTCTAAGTATATCTGATTTTAGGAATCCACTAGAGTCCACAGTTGGTTGATGCATGTTTGGAAGATGGTTTTGGCATCATCGTTTTCCCTAGTAGACAGATACTGCACTTTAGATGGGAAAAAAAACTGAACAGTGTCACATAAGGGTGATGGATGATTTCCTTTGGCTCAGTTTGGAATCATGTCATAGGGAGCACAATGATTACCAGAAACAGTCAGATAGAAAGATAGCATCCTAACCATAAGACCCTTCACCACCATCCCTTCCACTCCTGTTTCTTCAAAGCCTCCTGGATGTTGCATCAAGTCTGAAGTTTTGTAACAGAACCTGAAAAATTCTATGGCTTCAAAAAACATCATATTGACATTCTTGACTTAGGAATATGAACAATTAACACAACATTATTAGTTATCAGTGAGGCAATCTGTCCTGACATACTGGGACAGCCAGTTTTGAATTGCTAACCAATGTGAAATTTTTCACCTCCAGTGAGAGACTTTTTTTCCCCAGATTTCTACATTTTGCACAATTTTTTTATTGTAAAAGCAAAACACACATTGCGAATGACTGACTGATCCAAAGGGGGAAAAAAAAACCAATTGACTGCTTCTCACTTTTTAAAGTCCATGCAAAGAAGGCAATTGCTATTATAACTTTGCTCAGTTGGTAAAGTTGTCTTCCCAACCCACAAATAAGGATGTGAGACACAGTAATAGGTTTCAAACTGGGTCACAAATTTGTTGAACTACCCAGCTAAAAATAATAATACTGGGGCATACAAAGGAGGAGAGGGACTTACTTTTCCCAACCTTGTAAGACATAAGGACGGGGAATCTTTATATCTGATATGGGATTGAGACAAGGATTTTCCGTGGTGAAAGTAGCTGCACTCAACTCAAATACTACTAGAGGCCAGTTCATGAAGTCAGAGGGCTAAACAAGATTCCTGTAAAACTGTCATTTTTCTATGGGTCTGTGGGCATTAACTGGCCAAACCCTGCCAAGGGCAACTCATACAACAACTCTGGCATCACTGAGAGTTTGGGACACAGCAGTCTGAAATCAAATGGGGAAAAGATGATGCATTTCTCTGTTCAGCAATGTTGCTTAAATGAATGGTAATGTGTGGACTTCACAGGTTTCAAAGCCAAATAAAACATGCAAAGAAGACACTGCACATTACCCTGAAAGTGATTTTTTTAAAAAAAAATTCAACTTCTCTTGCTGATTCTGTGAAAGCTCTATTGACAGAGAACAAATAGGTTGTGTCTGAAAAGGAATGTAGCACCTCAGTGTCTGTCTTCTCTTGCAGGTCAGCCAAAGAGGCTCAATTGCAAGCATTCATGGGCTTCTCTGGGCAAACAAACAAGAAATGAAAGAAAATTTGTCACTGACTAAAAACTTCATTGAATTCAGTACAATCATTTTATGAGAGAAGGTAAGTGGGGAAAAAAGCATTTGTGCAGGACAGTTACAGAGAGACTCTTACAATTGAGCCTGCATAGTGTGCATACTGATGCTACAGACTTTCTACTGCTATTTCCCCACTTTCTCACGTTTGTGTGTGTGTGTGTGTGTGTGTGTGTGCGCGCACATACTGATGCTACAGACTTTCTACTGCTGTTTCCCCACTTTCTCATGGTGTGTGTGTGTGTGTGTGTGTGTGTGTGTGTGTGTGCGCACACTCCAAGGACATATCTTTAGAATCACAGATTCATAGAATAATTGAGTTGGAAGGACATATCTTTAGAATTACAGATTCATAGAATA